CATGAGACAAAGATATAGGGATGGTGTCAGGTGGCTTTGTGCATATTTGGTGTGTAATGACCCCTTGTTTCTTCCTTTTTGGTGCTTCAAGCCATCCCTATATCCCCCTTTGAAATGATTTTTCCACTTGTAACTTAAACAAGGACAAGAAATTGCGTGAAGAATGTGGGGTCTGTGTTGACTAAGGTATGAACAAGCTTAAACACTTCATAGATGGTTCTGGCCTTACACCCGCAATCAAGCAGTCAACATGTTTGTTTTTCTCAAATGCAGCATAGAAAATTTGCAGTACTCAGGTCCATTGCATTGGCTGAAAGAACAAGCAAAGCACCCATTAACTCACACTTGGTGCAACGTTGAGAAAACAAGGGACACGAGCTTGCTTAGTCATCCGAATGTGCGTTTTTTTCCAAATGTACATATATGTACGATATTGTATACTCCAATGACAATGGCAGCACTGTCGCACATATGAAATTTCGCTGCCGTGTCCACATGACTTTACGTCCGCTCACCACAAAAATGTGTTGCGTTCATTCATAATAAACATGGAATTAACAAGAGGTGGTTGTGCTATGCTTAGCATCCAGGATAGAGTGGTAAAGACATGAAGTGGGTATGCCTATTTCCAAGGAGACATGTCTCTCACACTACACGTTCGGAAGGACAGGCTAACAAACCATCCTGAATACCTTGACTATAGCTGGAGGGTGCAGTGCAAGCCACCCTCAATAGTTACAGTTAAAAATTGGGTGACCTATATTTTGTATGTAGGTACCTATATTTTGTATGTATATATAATAATTATGCTGGTAAAGTGGCCTAAATTGTTCGTACTTTTTGTGAGTACGCAAACGGAAGGACAGGCTAACAAACTATCCTGGCTATAGCTGGAGAGTGCAGTGCACGACACCATTAACAGTTACTGTTAAAAATGGGATGGCCTTAGATTTTGTATGTAATAATGCTAAAGTCTCATCTCGGAATTGTCGCGCGCGAAAAGTTTGGACCACCATACCAGCATTATTACGTACAAAATCTAGGCCATCCCATTTTTAACAGTAACTATTGAGGGTGGTTTGCACTGCACTCTCCAGTTATAGTCAGGGTGTTCAGAGTGGTTTTATACATTGTCCTTCAGTCTGTGTACTCACTAAAAGTACGAACAATTTACAATTTAGGCCACCGTACAAAATCTAGGCCTCCCCATTATCAAAAGTAACTATTGAGGGTGGCTTAATGCACTGCACTCTCCAGCTATAGTCAAGGTATTCAGGATGGTTTGATAGCCTGTCCTTCCGTTGTTGTGCTCATACAGCTATGTCTAGATTGTCCATTTGGGATGGTTGGGCCTGCATTATGTGCACTTCTGAGAGGACATTCACACAGTGAAGCAAATTGGGAGGACGTAAGGCTACACAGGTAGTTACTGTGAGCCTCTGTAGTTTGTTTTTCTTGTTGTTTATGTACGTGTACTTCACATGGCAGTCCATACGCAATCAGGTAGCACAGCATCCCACGTCCCACTCATTGTGTAACTCCCTGTACAAAGCATACAGGCTGCAGTAGATTTTGAATGGACGGGCTGCGCTGGTGAATGTTTTATCATGAAAGAAAACTTACCTTAAGCTTTGTATCTCTTCCTGTAGACATTCACAGGTGAGCAAGCACTATGACATGGTTGGCCCAAATGCCAGACCTTATAACTCCAAGTTTCACAAGGAAATCCTACAACTTTACCCGCAGTTTGCTAATAACCGACTGCTAACAAACACCATTTGATAGGGACAACAAATGACCAAGCTGCTAACTTCCATTCCGCGAAAAATGAAGTGAGGTAAAAGTGAGCAAGGGTGCCTATAAACTAAGAGGTTGGTCCATCAAATTACGACTATCCGTCCTCTGGAGTGACAGTGAACGTACATGAGATCTGCCAACTCATAAAAGGAACCACAACAGGGAGAAATCGGTATAATGTCAACATGTTAAGATTCCATGCATCGTTGTGCACTTGTCTCTCGATGTAGTAGTAGGGCCATCACCCAAGCTACCTGCCAGCACTTATAATAATATGTACATACATGTACAATTTTCCCAGTTAACTACACCTATAGACATTTTCGCGACCCACAACTTTCCGTAAAAAATTGTTCAGTTCCGTACCGGTGTATAGAGCATAGAAAATAAGGAATAATTAGCAGCACTTATGGACTTGTGCCACCTGACTGAACATTGTCATGCCTTCCCCTTGCACATTGCTAGAAACTACACCTAACATATGTACGTACGGCAACTTACTGGGCTCAATGACACTGTAGTTGATGTCAAGCTTTTGAAGCTCTGCCTCGACTGTACTGGCCTTGGGAGCCTTGCCTCCTGCACACCAACAGATTAGACACTAGAGCTGATAGTGCAGCAAGACATCTGACTTATGCAACACTATGGCTATACTGTACACGTATATGTTTTTCCATACTGCAATGCATGATTGGCACGCAAACGCAAGTAGTTCAATGTTTTGCAAAGTGTTTTGAATCATAATAATATTATGGTACATGTGCATTGCCCGTCACAATCCCCATTGAGACGGTTACTAGGCTGGCTTCGTTTACCAACAATGACTAAAGAATGTGGCAGTTTAGAAATTAGAAACTGTTATATTATGTACCTACTTAATTGCATTCTTGCATTGTGGGCCCTGTTTAGCGCATGCATGTACTGCCACAACTCAGTTTATTGAGAGCAATGTGTCATGTGTATAAGTCACAACCAGACGCTTTGTATACCAGTACTATGCAACATCAAATGCTGCTCTACGCAATAACGCAATGGGGAAGCGGTGTTGAAAGGATCTACAATATACAACTTACCAGTGACAACAACCTTCTCTCTGACGACACTTCTCACATCCTCGCTGCACTGTAGCACCAGGGAGTGGACCATCTGGGCCACCACGGGGGCAGAGCAGGTGAGAGGGTCAGTGGAGGTGGCCCCAGGTCTCTCCTCTCCCTCCCACACCACACAGCAGGTGGCCACTCCGTGACCCACATCCACCACCACACCCGATGTCTGCTCCACTCTATATAATACAGACAATTAATGATATCCACATAATTACACAAGCACCACTGTAACAAAAGATCTACAGTGGAACCTTCGAACAAGGGACACTATGGGGCCAACAACTTTGTCCCTTGGAGAGAGGTCGTCCCTATCTCAGAGGGTCCCTTATCGGAGGGTCCTTTATCAGAGGTTCAACTGTAAAGGATTATCCTGGCCTTGCGCAGCACGTGTTTGGAGGTGACACAATGCATACTGCGTTATCTTCATGCAGGCGTATAGGAATCCCTGTTTCAATTGAACATCTTCCTACCCCATAAGCTGCTGGTGACCAATGTGCAGAGTGATACATTACACCAATGAGACTACCCACCCGCACAGAGTGGCGACAGCAGAGCTGAGGAAACTGACAGAGCACTGGAGAAACATCTTGACAAAGGTGTAGCCGACCTGGCTGCGAATGGTGGGGTTCCACAGCCCGGGCGGCTCCAGGATCACCACCGGCGTGAACTTTGGCGGAACGTTGCAGGCATAGTAGAACCCGGTGACAATCTCGGGGAGGAGCTCGGCTCTAACGGGGATTCCTGCCTCCACCACGTTCACCAGGTGGTTCGGGAAGTTTTCCTTGGCGTCTTTTCCACAGAAGTATCTCTCCCACTCCCCACGACGCATGTGGAGGTCAAACACACCAGGAACCTGTGGGGGCAGGGCATTGTATGCATGTCATACATACACACTACACACACTCAACCACACACACATACACACACCGCACAACTTCACAAATTTTGATGAAGGATTATTGGGGACTATAATGGGTGGAAACATTTTCCATAAAGCACATAACAAATCTGTATGAATCTGATCATGATAGCTTTCCTTACTACACTATGCAGTTTTGAATGCAACTCTACATTTCACGAAATATCTCTGATCCCCTGGTACATTAAGGTACCATGCCAAAAGTCACAAGGTACACAGTACCTACAGAAACAGCCACACAGTCAGACTGATGCTTCCCTCACCAGTGCCACGACACTCTCAATGGTGATGGTCTTGACGATGGACTGGAGTCGGTCCACCACTGCACACTTGCAGGAGAAGCTCCCGAGGTCCACCACCATGACGTGGGCTGGAGAGTCCATCTTCACCCTCTGCTTGAACAGACCATACCAGTCCTTGATGAACGGTGGTGGTGCTGTCTGTGGACCCGGAGGAATATCAGTTAGGATAGTTCAACAGTATTTACCCTATACCCTAAATCTTGTGTTTCATAGATTCTGTGAACGTAGGGGAAAAACGTGAGCCCCATTGTAGAATTCCTGGATAGCCTTGATAGTCCATATTGATGCCACCATTATTGCAACAAGCTGGGGCTTAAAACATTACACCACCAGTCTGAATTATGGCTAGGATACTGCTTAAGAACTCCCTGCAATTTGCCTGGACTGCAAGTCATACAAAGCTGATTTCTAGAACAATTCTGGGCTAGTTTACAACTTCGTACATGTGGAAGTTTAGAGGTTGTAGCTAGAGAATTATAGCAGTCTAGACTTGTGCACTTACAGCTAGAGTGGTCTTGGTGTGGTCAAGTTGGGCCTCCAGACCAATGCCGATGGGCCACTTTTGCTTGTACATCTCGTACCACAGCTGACCATCCATTGCCATATCGTACCACATCTAGAATTGGAATTGAGTGAGGGTTTCAACGGAAACAAAGTACGTATGTATCAGACACCACCTTGCAGACCCTCATGGCCCGGCACACGTCCTCCGGGGTGAGATAGCTGAAGATTTGAGATAGATCTCATATGGCAGAGTCTGCTGGAACGGCTCTGCGGCATCTGACCCCACTGACCTCTGGGCCTCTCTCTGCTGGCGGAGGGCTGCCAGGTAGGTGTCGTTGAATCCCTGGGAGTCTCCCTCTGTATTGGGACGATGTGAGACAGGTTCTAAACACTTCAGACTGCCGGCCTTCCCAATACTCATGATACATCTCATGCAACATACACAAATACATCTGTGCATAATGATACATGTGCAAGAGCGTCGCATATTATGGGAAAACCATGCAGTTAAGACGAATACGTACACTTGATTAATATTGGCCATGTGTTATGTAGCAGAAGACGTACGCACCTTGCTCCAGTTTCCAAGACTTTTTGTAGAGGGCGAGGGTGGAGAGATAGTCAGTGTCAGCCTGGTAGCTCATGGGATCAGGGATCATCTCTCTGTCCACCCGGCGGTACATGATCTCCGTGCGCAGGATGTACTTGACCCCCTCGGTGACAGGCAGTCCTTCGTGGAGTGTGTCGTGGTTGAAGACTAGGGCCGTCCCTTCCCTGGGCCTCACCAAACATGCCTCCTCTGCACAGTAAACCATCAAAGCAACCTAATACATGACACCCACAACGGTCTGCGCTTTACTTGTACAGTGGAGTACTTGTTGCATATAGTGATTTGCCTCAAATGGACAGATATAAAATGTTAAGTTTGGTTGTCTTTGCGCACTTGCATTAGCATTACGGCACAGGTATATACAGTAAAAGATTTACCCACCATCTTGGAAGGATGCCACACATTACAAAATGTGACTTACTCTTAGTGTCCTCTTCGAGGAAGCGAGTCTGTCCTCCCTGGAAGTCAGAGTTGAGGTAGACCACTACAGTGAACACTGAGCTCTCGTCCTCATGAGGCACCCACGGCCCATCCAGGTGAGGACTAAAGTGACCTCCAGCTCTGTGTGTGTGTGTGTGTGTGTGTGGCCGGGTGTTCATGAACTCCTGTGAATACTATCACCAATATACACATGCTACTCAATCAGGCCATGAATTGTACAAGCCGAACACCCATACGTCGCAATACAGGTGGAGGCTATAATGTTAAAGCCAAGGTCTCGCAGTCGGAAGCACCGCATGCTACGCTGTCAGCTTTATAAAAAGAGTGTTTGTAAAAAGTCAACCATGCGCAGGGAAATAACCTGCACAGTGATATTGTATATAGACTGACAAAGTGAGAGGCACCAAATAACTGCACTGCAGTCGAGTGACTCACTTGTACTTTCCAAACTTGCAGCACTCGTTGAGTCGGAATGGTTTCCAAGTGCCCTCATTGCCAAATCCGACGGGTCGTACCCTGATGACCTCCCTCCTGGTAAGATGGCCCTGGAGTCTGGCCCACAGAGTGTCCACAAGGGGCGGACAGATGGACAGGACTCGGTCGTTGCTACGGTACTCTGGCGGGAAGAGGTCCAGGAGGTCCGAGTAGCCGATCCTCTCGGTGTCCTCGATGTAGTGGCGGCACTCCTCGGGCGAGAGCAGCGAGTGGAGGAGGAAGCACCTGGCGCCTCGCACATTCAGGTCCTCCCGAGTGACGGCCGGTCCCCCGGTGCTCCCAGAGAGGATGGACCCAGGGTGCTGGACGTCGCGGAAGTTCTTCTGGGACGTGGTCAACATGGGACGGACGATGACCTTTGGCTTCTCCATGTCTTCCTTCTGGCCAGACGAATCCCCTCGACGACCGCGAACGAGCCTGCTAGAAACCGTGTCCCCCATGCCGCACTGATGCAAAAGAAAGCCAATCGGCGGACACCCACCTGACCACGCCCTTTTTCTCCTCCATGCTGAGTCAGCATTTTGACAAAGCCACACACCCGGAACCCACTCGATCGAGTCCCCTAGCAAGACAGAGAGCGAGGCTGTCTCTCACTGCTCACTTACGACCCCAGGACGAGAAGGAGGACTGACTGCTATGCCTTTGAAGTCTTCAGGACGCAATGGGAACCACCACACAAGTCTGGAGGCCAAAACCAACGGACACGGGGACGAGGACTCGAGCAACTCAGACTGTGATTCGTCTCTCTGTGAGCGTACGGCCGAGTGGGCAGACTTACTTTTTCATGTCACGATGGGCTTTTATGCTGCAGATGACGAGGTAGAGTCGGAGAGAAGAAAAGTAGACTGTCTGGACGACATGCAGTTCTTGGAGCAGCAGTTTTCTGACCTGAAGGAACTGTGGGTGGGGCGGCAGTAAAGTGACACTGAGTGTTGGTTTTTATTTTTCACCACAGGCTCTTCCATGAGAAAGTCAGAGAGATTGATGAGCGGATGAAACACATCAGTGAAGGTGAGATAGTGTTTTGTTCACGAGTTAGTTTTAAACACCAAACATACGGTAGCTACTATCCCTACGAACTATCTATCATCACCAACAGCAAAACAAAGACCTTAGGTTGGATACATGCTTAAAAAACCTACGGTATCCAAAGCTTTTTGGGTCTTAGAAGCACAAGTTGTTGGAATCTGCATATATACACCTTTTAGAAAGTGTAGCTGAAATGATACATGTGACTGTGTGTTGTTGTATAGAGGGAGCTCATGAGTATCTCCAGCCACTAAAGGAACTGGAAGAGGCGAGACAGAGACGTACCCAGACAGCAGGTACAACTCTGCAGTTTCATTGTACGTGTTAATTCCACTACCTTTTTTTTCAGAATTACAGTGCTCCTGTAAGGTAAGTTGGTAAAAATGGCATAGCCTTCGAAACCACCAAAACAGAAGAGTATAGTGAGACTAGTTATCTGAATTATCATAATAAGAGCGCAGCGTAATGCTTATGTACATAGTATAATTGTAAACTGCTGCTGTTTGGTGCATTCTCTAATAATAGCGTTGTATTCACAGTTGCAAAACATCCAGAACAAGTACGACGAAGAAGTGGCATCAGCTGAGCAGAACTTCCAGGTGCCGTTTTGAGCGAATTAGTTTTTGTGAATGACGTGTCTTGTTTACCGGGAGTGTCCATTATAGTGTGTATGTGCTAATTTACCATTTACACAGGAGTTGATCCAGGTGACCAAGAGGAAGATGGTAGCCACAATCCAGGAGAAGATCCGCCGACTCCATGAGGAAAAGATTGTGGCAGAGTTCACTAAAGGTGCAGTCTTGTATGATGTAAAGATGTCTAGTGGAATTGGTCATGTTCCCATTCCCAGTCTTCCCATTACACGGCAAGGTTTTTATGCATGTGTAACAGTTGTGTCACTTTGTGTCGCTCAATTTCCATGCCTGTTCCCAGAGAATGGTTCAAGGAAGAGAAAGAGGAACAGCGAGTTCTTGCTACCAGATAAGAGGAAAAAACCAGTCACAGTGAATGATATCCAACCTGTTTTCATTCGTGTATTATGTGTTGCATGACTATAGCTACACAATGTCTTCCTTGACAATGTTGTGTACGTCCGTATGTCATCTATATGTTGAGAGACATGGACATCATGGAAGATCTGTACGACATACGGAGAGTAAGAAGTTCTTCCGTTATGTCTTGGTGTATGTAACACACAAACATACACACACTATAGGGCCAGGCGGTAGAAGAAGTGGAGAGAAAGGGCAAGTGAAATTGCTGCAATAAGCCTGTTTATTCAAGCTATTCTTTTCTCTTCATCTCCTCAGGATTGTTTAGAGATTGCAGCTGGACATAATAAACTGTTGCATCGCACAAAATGAATGTGTTGGTTATAATGGTACATTGTCATTTTCAAAAAGTGTTAAAAGAGATGAGATATATATAATTATTGTATATACACGTACAGTTCGAAGACATTTGCGACTACAGTTACAATGTAGAGTAGCTCATCAAAGGTCGAACACCATGTATAATCGGACAGGCCTCCAGATCTTACAATCATTTAGTTTTCTATAATTATTATGTATGTAGCTAACGTAGTGTCACCAATTCGTTAACATCATCACTAAGTACGGTAGTTACTTCGTATATAGGGATGGGCATGGTACCTAGCATCATAGATGTATATATGGGGGGAGTTTTGTTCTTCTTCTTCTTCTTCTTCAACCAACATAACTCAAAAACCGAAAGTGATAAAGCCATGAAATTTTTAGCCAAAATGTACATATCGATAACCACATGTGCAACGTCATACTCTTTTATTTGTAAACAATGTTGTTACAACAACAAAATTGCCCCAGGCAATACTTTACAATGGGCATACTACATGTGTAGAATAACTCACAAATGGTAAGATCTATGTGAATGAAACTTTCTAGATATAATGTATTCAATCACCAACATTAAAATCACAACAATACATGTTTGTAAAAAACAACAAATAGCCTCAGGCACTTTTCTTTTAATTTACTTCTTCACTCCTCAAACTCTCCAATGATAGCACGCATAGAGATGAAACTTGGTATGTGTGCCTATTATTACAAGTAAATAAAAAAATTCTGCGAATTAAAAAAGTGTGGAATATAGGGAAGCCATAAAAAGCAAGGAGACAAGACAGGGATGACCTAGTGTATGTGATGCATTAGTACAGTGGGATGATGGTTACATTTTCAAACTGACATTTCTTGCTCGTGTAAATCTTCCTCCACACAAGCCCTATATTGTCGCAAAGCATGACTGTGCTCCCTCGTAGAATGACTCATCTCTTAAGCACGTGATGCACAGGTGTTGCCCTCTCTGACAGCTCCTCAGTTTTTGGTTGTGACTGCATTGTGTGCAGTCAAGACTTCGGTGTTCGCTCAACTAACGATGAGTTCATGGCCCGCCAGAGAATCCCTTTACAGACTGGTCTTAATATTCTTGAGAGAGGGGACTCAACTAAAGTGTGCCCGGCTAATTAAAATCTCTTGCTAGCACGAGTGATCTCTATTGTATGATGTTCAGCTATGACTCGTTTCTTATGCACGAGTGGATCGATGTGTCTCAGCCTCACCATTGTCCTCACACTAAACAAATTCATGTTGTGAGAAAAGTGGCGACAATATAGGGCTTGTGTGGAGGAAGATTTACACGAGCAAGCAATGTCAGTTTGAAAATGTAACCATCATCCCACTGTACTAAAGCATCACATACACTAGGTCATCCCTGTCTTGTCTCCTTGCTTTTATGGCATCCCTATATTCCACACTTTTTTAATTCGCAGAATTTTTTATTTACTTGTCTCCTTTCCTTTTTTTACAGCATGCACATGCATTGCATAATGTCCATATAAAAAGTAACACGTATTTAATGCCTCAGTCTGTTAGTTGTCATCTAGATTTTATTTCACTTCCAAAGTAGATAAGTGTACAAAGTTATAGGAAAAACAGCACTTAATTGCCTGAGGCTGTTTGTTGTTGTTTACAAACCTGTAATTTCTGTTTCGATGAACTCTCACCATGGTACATCAGTGTCCCAAGTTTCATTGTCATAGGACCCGCAATAAGCAAGTTATAGGCACAAACATCATTTACAAGTATTCATTGCCTGAGGCTGTTTGTTGTTGTTTACGAACTTGTAATTTCTGTTTCGATGAACTCATTTCATGGAACATCAGTGTACCAAGTTTCATTGTTAGAGGTCCCACCATAAGCAAGTTATAGGCAATAATATAGTATACAAGTTTTTATTGCCTGAGGCTGTTTGTTGTTGTTTACAAACTTGTAATTCTGTTTCTATCAACTCTCATCATGGTACATCAGTGTACCAAGTTTCATTGTTAGAGGACCAACCATAAGCAAGTTATAGGCACAAACTCATTTTATTGCCTGAGGCTGTTTGTTGTTGTTTACACACTTGTAATGTTTACATTTCGATACTAATGATGGGTTGCATGTGTGTACAAAGTTTTATCACTCTGGGTATTAGTTAGCACACTTTATTTGTCCCTATCATAATGTATTGCCTGGGGTTGTTTACGAAAAAATTAAATGCTCTTGCACGACCTGTCATGGATTCCAATATCTGTGCAAAGTTTCATATCCATATCTTACCCGGTTTTTGAGATACGCTTGTCTAAACTGAACAACAACAACAAGAAGAAGAAGAAGAAGAAAATTGAAAGGTTATGCGATTTAAGCTATTTCTTGGATACATGCTCTTTGTGACGATACAAAATAGTCTGCGTCAAAAGTTGGATCTGATTGAAATAGAAAGTGAAACATGAAAATCTCAAATGTGTATGAGCATAATGCAGGACAACCTGTGTCATCCCTATTATACTAAGTACTACCGTACTTAGTGATAATTTCCATGATGGTTACATGTTTCCATGACGACTGCATATTGTTCGAAAAAGCTTCAGGCAATTTTCCTTAAAACCTCCTCAAACTTGCTAACTGTAGCATGCATGGAGGTGAAACTTGGTGCGCATGCCTAATACATCGTTTCCATGACGACCACAACAACAAATAGCCTCAGGCACTTTTGTTTAAAAATTTATTCTTCACTCCTCCAACTTGCTAACTGTAGCACGCATGGAGATGAAACTTGGTACGCATGTGTGTAACATCATTTCCATGACGACAACAAAAACAAATAGCCTCAGACAATTTTCTTTTTTCACTCCTCAAACTTGCTAACGGCAGCACACATTGGTACGTTCCATGACGACAACAGGCATTATTTCTCTATTTAATTATTAATTTTTATAAGGGGCTTGCCCCCTCCACAGAGATAATACGTAGTAGTATATAAAAATGAGTGGAGACAAAGTAAATTTAAAATCCTGCGAATTTAAAAAAAGAGGCATATAGGGATGGAAAGGGAGACAAGATAGGGATGGGATAGATGAACATTGGTTAATGAACAGATTTGAGCAGCTGACACCCCCAACCCATCACCCAATCCCTATATTGTTGCCTAGGTCATTATAACTCGAGGAAGCCAACCACACTTTCTGCGATGGATCGGTCTAGAGAAGATGCCCTTCGTCGTCGACGAGAAAGGGAAAGAGAGCGTCGTGCCAGTGAGACTTCTGAGCAAAGAGAGGCTCGTCTTTCTCGACGGCGACTGCGTGATAGGGAACGGGTAAGGCAACGCCTGGCCACGGAAACAGCGGAAGAAAGGGAAGCATGACTAGCGAGAAGTCGTGTACGAGCAAGAGCTACACGTGCTGCGGAATCAGAGGAAACGCAACAGGCAGGCTCCAAAGATCCGAAGCTATCAACAAGGCGAATTGCCGCCGAGTCTGCCGAGAGAGAGAGGGTCGACTACAGTTACTACACAGGAATCAACAGCTTTTTGCGATGCACACATACGTTAGATCGCTCCCGCTCGCCAAAAATGCAGTGCATTCGCCTACTAGTAACTAGGAATGCGCACGCGCAAATTTTGCCTCACGCCTGCCAGCCAATGCGTAAACTGTCCGACTGAGGCCGCTCGTGCGCGCGCCCTACTGACTGCGCGCGAAGCCGGACTTCCTATATGGAACGCCGTTTCCGCCTAAAGTAAGGGCTCTCCGCCTGTCAAAAATCGATTTCCAAATCTATCACGTACTCGATTTTTGGTCAAAAATCGATTTACAAATCGATCACGTATAATTACTGGTCAAAAATCGATCTCAAAATCAATCTCTAAATCGATCTTTTACTCTATTTTTTGCTCTAATAGTATACTATGTAACAGCCAATACATTTGATCCATAGAGAATTTAACTATTTCACCGTAAGACCTTGGAAATTGAAATACCCCCCAAAATTTAAATACCCCAGAAAATCGACCAATCAAATCAAGTGACTACGAAATCAATGTGAAATACTTCATACAAGTTACGGCTACAGAAACAAGTGTCGCGAAAGATTTGTGAGCATGACTATAGCTAATCTATATAGCACACTGATCACTATACACAGCACTATACTACATGTGATAGTGCAGTTTGGTGATGTATTAGGGGATCAATAGTGATGGAATTTTTAAAAATAGTATTCGGCTTCGCCTCATACTATTTTGAAAACTGCACTATTACCTATACTAATCGATTTCGTAATCAATTTCGCGAAACACTCTTCGGTGTGTGATGCCGCTACAAAACTCCGCGGACTACGGATGCACGCGAAATAATGATCGATTCGGACGCAATTCGGACGGTCTGTGATCTGATTGGTGTTTCCGTGACGACCGATGCGTCGGGTAGCTGGGGCTGCGGGGGCTGGTCCGGCTCCGGCTGGTTCCAGCTAGAGTGGCCTCAGGAGGCACGCGATAGGAGCATATCATTCAAGAGCTGTTTGCTGGATTGGTTGCGGCACGGTATGGGCAACCGCTGGAGGGGCCACCGCGTACGATGGTCTCTGCGATAATCAGCCGCTGTGTTTTCGGTGAATAAACGGTCCTGCCGCGACGGGCCGATGATTGAGCCTTATTCGATGCCTGTTTCTTTTTGGAGGCGTGGTTTAGTTTGAGATGGTGGCGGCACATCTCCCGGGAAGGGGAGAACACGCTGGCGGACGACTTATCGCGTGATCGCCGGTCTATTTTCTCTCTCCAAGGCTCACTGCCAGACGAGGCTCCACCGACCTTCCACGGAGCTGCCCGGATTGTTGCTCAGCAGGAGGCCTGGACATCTCGTCGCTGGAGGACGGAGCAGTTCTATTCAATAGTAACCGCGGTGTAGCCGACTCCACGAGGAGGACGTATCAGTCGGGTGTGAGACGCTACCTCTCATTTTGCTATGCGTCTCGGGGTTCCCGCCCCCTTTTCCTGTATCTGAGACGCTATTATGCTATTTCGTGACTTCATTGGCGCAGGAGGGCATGGCAACCGTCACGATAGGAC